TATATATAGTTATATATATAGTTATATATAGTTATATATATAGTTATATATAGTTATATATATAGTTATATATAGTTATATATATAGTTATATATAGTTATATATATAGTTATATATAGTTATATATATAGTTATATATAGTTATATATATAGTTATATATAGTTATATATATAGTTATATATAGTTATATATATAGTTATATATAGTTATATATATAGTTATATATAGTTATATATATAGTTATATATAGTTATATATATAGTTGTATATAGTTATATATATAGTTATATATAGTTATATATAGTTATATATAGTTATATATAGTTATATATGAACGAAGAGCTTTATTATTTAGATTTTAACAGAAGTTTGTTTGTATTCTAGATTTTAACCTTCTTCATTGATGTTTTGATAATTGTTCTTTGAAATGTTTTTAAGAATGTTTCAACAAACTTTTTTCTAAGTTTTCATTGATATTTTTAATCAATGTTTTATTGATGTTTTACATATTTTATTATTAGGCTTTATTTACTTTTCATTTATAGGAAAATTTTCATTTTCATTTTTTATCCCTTTTCAGAATCCGCCCCTTCTCCCTTTTTTACCTTTTCTTCTCTTCTTCAATTCTCAATTTCATTTCCAGCAGCTCTCCTGTAGATATGGGCATGTTAGACTTTTTCATTTCGTTCGCTTTTTTCAATCCTTCAAAATATAGATTTCGTTTGTTCTCAAAATTGTAGTTCGTTTTCCATCTTTTCGTTCGTTTTCTCACTGAACGATCGTTCAGTAACATCGGTTTTTTCAGTAATATCGTTTTTTTTTCAGTAAAATCGTTCATTCAATAAAATTGTTCGTGAAATAAAAAACTATCGTTTTTTTAAAAAATTAACAAAATCATTCGTTAACGAAAAATTTCGTTCTTTCTTAAAAATCCAGTTCGTTAAAAAAACCATGCCCATCTCTACTCTCCTGTTCCCTTTCTTCTCTCCTTTCCCTCCTCTCCGACCTTCCCCTCTCTTCCTTTCTTCTCACACACCTTTCTTACTTTTGCTTTCTTTACAGGGGAAACCTAGTAACAAAATTAATAATTACAAATTAGAATATTTACAAAATAAAACTAGCATCGTGACAAAAGAGTTAAGTCTGTAACAAACTCAAATTTTTTAATTCCTATATATCTTTGTAACTCAATATTGTGGTCGATATTTCTAACTATAGACTATTTGATCTAGCAGAAATTATAGTTTGAAATATCTAAGATTAGGAATTATAAAATCAGAATTTTTGACAAAGATTCAACTCCTTTAAAGAAAGAAGATATAAATATTTCCAGCATAGCCCTCATTCCAGTGGCGGATATAAGGGGGGTTATTGGGGTTATTTACCCNTTTGAGGTGGTGGAGATTACCAATTGAGGAGCGCGCTTGCCGCAAAACAGATTTGGGTGGCGGTGATTACTATTTGAGGAACTCTGGACTCCCTCCCTCCTTCATGCGGTGAGTAAAATATGTGAAAATAGCACATTTAGCTTCACCCATTGTACGGTGGGCTTTCAAAATATCGAAATTCCGTTTATAAATCATAGATATATCAGGATCAAAGGGTAAAGTAAAGGGAAAAAACAATAAAAGATTAAAAATATTACTTTTCGTTCTTTTGAAGAATCAGTCTTTTCTTCTTCACCCTCTTCATCCTCTTCATCGTCTTCTTCCTCCTCCTCCTCTTCTTCTTCTTCTTCGTCCTCTTCGTCCTCCAGCATTCGTTTTAAATCCTCTATTTCCTTCTGATATTGTTTCATCAAAGCGTCCTAAAAGTTTGAAGCACTTACAAAACGTTTTCTTAAAGAACGTTTCCTTACAGAACGCTTCCTCAAAAAACGTTTCCTACACAAAACGTTCCTGCCACAAAACGCTTTCTTACAAAACGTTTCCTTAAAAACGTTTCCTTACAAAACGTTTTCTCACAAAACATTTCCTTACAGTTTTGTTTCCTGCCACAAAACGTTTCCTTAAAAAACGTTTACTCACTAAATATTTCCTTACAAAACGTTTCCTTGGAAAAAGTTTCCTACACAAAACGTTTCCTGCCACAAAACGTTTCCTTACAAAACGTTTCCTTACAAAAGGTTTCCTCACAAAACGTTTCCTGCCACAAAACGTTTCTTTACAAAACGTTTCCTTACAAAACTTTTCCTTACAAAAGGTTTCCTCGCAAACCGTTTCCTGCCTCAAAACGTTTCCTTACAAAACGTTTCCTATGATAAATGTTTTCTCGGATAAACCTTTCATAAAAATAAATAAAAATAGTTTTAAAATCTATTGAATATTAAAGGATTTATGTTAACTGACAAAATTTTACTTTAAAAGTTTAATTCCGTATATTTAAGATACTTAATTATAAAAAGTATAAAAATTGTATTGTCTGGATTACTTGTATTTATGGTTGTTCATCGTTTTGCTTCGTTTTTGAGAGGGTTTGCACTTTTACAGGTTCAATAAAATCTGATAATTTTACAAATTTAAAAATTGTTTTTTTTTCTAAAGATTTGCTTTTCTTACACAATACCTGATTGTGACCCTAACAGAAAATATAGAAAATATAGAAAATATAGAAAATATAGAAAATATAGAGAATATAGAAAATATAGAAAATATAGAAAATATTGAAAATATTGAAAATATTGAAAATATAGAAAATATTTGCAAAAAACGAACCAAAGACGATTTTTATTTCCTTGTAGGATAAAAATATAGCAAACTTTAACAGATTTATTAAATGTTTTTGGACTATAAGGCAGAAACTTAAATTTCACCTATTGGTCATCTGTCATTCGGGGGTTCATGAGTTATGATCAGACATCCAAACAGACACAAAAACAGAGATTACTACTTATATAAATACCTTGGGATCTTCATTAATCTTGGCTTTGTTCTTTATACTTTTCGCTCTACTAGCATATCTACAAGAAAAACATTTACTTTATTAACAGAAGTTTTTTGTATTAAGTTTACTAATCCACCATATTTACCATATTTGTATACATTTATAGTTATGTAAATATAGATGCTTATTTTTAGATAACATTTTTACTTTAACCTTTAAAAACGTCTTGAATTTTTTAAAAGTAATTTTTGAGTATTTCTTGCACTGTAAACTGCGGTTCATTTCAAGTACAGGGCCGACTTTTAAGCAGTTAGAGCAAGCCGTACAGTACAGCAAACGGGATAGTACACGAAATGAATCATCTCCTTCTAGTACAGGGTGAATGTTAAAAACAATATTTTAACGAGACTTTGCAATTTTTTAGAAATATTTACGGTTGAAAGAAAATCCTATTCCCAGGGTAAAAGAGAATTAAAATAAGCCCCCCCCCCTTCATAACTATTTCTAGTTTAAACCCCTTGAATAACCCTTCATAATTATTTCTAGTTTAAACCCCTTGGTTGTCTGTTAACCTGAGTGTTCCAATAGTTTCATCGTAATTATAATCTGCAGGTCCAACATTAGCAAACATCAGGGTCTTAGAGTTACCACCTAGATACATGGATTGGATAGGTTGTAATTAGGTATATAAGGTAGTCAGATACATAGATAAATATGTGGATGGATAGGTAGGTAGGTAGGTAGGTTTAGGTAGTTGGATAGGTAGATAAAAGAGTTGTAGATAGGTCTATAGGGATAGAGAGATACAGTATTTGTTACAAAAACAAGATGGTATCTTTTGAAAAATAAAATTTTTCTTTATTTATCCTTGATTGAGCAATACTTTATGTTTTATATTGATTTGTTTATTACCAAAATTGTCTTAAAATTAACTTTGAACTTAGATCAATTACAATTTACTATTTCTGTACGGTACATGTGTTTTGTGTACTGTACCTAATGAATCCTGAGGCCGAAATTTAAAAGAGTATCGTTGAACAAAACTCCCGAGTTTCCTTTTTGGGGTCTTTACTTTTGTGTNCTGTACGGTACATGTGTAGTGCGTACTGTACCTAATGAATCCTGAAGTAGACGTGTAAGTTTACTATTTCTGTGCGGTACATGTGTAGTGTGTACTGTACCTAATGAATCCTGAAGTAGACGTGTAAGTTTACTATTTCTGTACGGTACATGTGTAGTGCGTACTGTACCTAATGAATCCTGAAGTAGACGTGTAAGTTTACTATTTCTGTGCGGTACATGTGTAGTGTGTACTGTACCTAATGAATCCTGAAGTAGACGTGTAAGTTTACTATTTCTGTACGGTACATGTGTAGTGCGTACTGTACCTAATGAATCCTGAAGTAGACGTGTAAGTTTACTATTTCTGTGCGGTACATGTGTAGTGTGTACTGTACCTAATGAATCCTGAAGTAGACGTGTAAGTTTACTATTTCTGTACGGTACATGTGTAGTGCGTACTGTACCTAATGAATCCTGAAGTAGACGTGTAAGTTTACTATTTCTGTGCGGTACATGTGTAGTGTGTACTGTACCTAATGAATCCTGAAGTAGACGTGTAAGTTTACTATTTCTGTACGGTACATGTGTAGTGCGTACTGTACCTAATGAATCCTGAAGTAGACGTGTAAGTTTACTATTTCTGTGCGGTACATGTGTAGTGTGTACTGTACCTAATGAATCCTGAAGTAGACGTGTTAGTTTACTATTTCTGTACGGTACATGTGTACTTTTACCATCCACCAAGGCTGATATCACGTTTCCTAAACAAATCAATGAAGAATTTATAAAACAAAATGTTCTAAAGTTTGTTTTGGACATCATAAGTAAAGGAAATGATGAAGAACTTTATAAAATCAAAAGAACCATGATTACTCACTAAAACCACAAATTCCTATATCTTTGGAACCCTGTGCTGTACAGTTTTCATTATTAATGGTTTCAATGAGATAAAAAATAGAGTTTAAGGCAAGTACTTAACCAGTTTAGTTTTTTTCTATGACAAACCTAGGGTGGAGAGAGAGAGGTTTATTTTTGTTGCTTCCTTTAATCTTGTGCCACTAGCACCAGTCTTACTTTGTCTTTCAGATCCTGCCAGATCTACCAGGTGCAGTTTACCAACCCTTGTATTTTTATTACATATTTATTTTAAATAAACTTGATATAAATTCTATAAATAATAAGATGATAGCCGTTGCAAATATTTTGATATTTCTATATTTCTTGATCTCCATTTTCTTCTTGTTTGTGCATTTTCCATCATGTTCGGCTAATTTTGAAGAAAAAAATTGGGGGGGGCGCGCTTGCCGCAAAACAAA